AAAGTCAGAATTCTGACTTTTTTCCCATACTAAACTGAAATTTTTTTTTTTTTAAATCAGTTAACTTTTTTTTTTTTTTTCCAGTGGCCCTAATCCTCTTCCGTATTTTTCAGTGTATTCCTGTTTCTCTAACTGTGACTGGCTGGATGTGCTCTCTTCATCTTCTGACATGGGAGCTGGCTCCTCATCTGCCTGGCTGTGCGTTTCCTGGACGGGGCGCCTTCTTTTTCTATGTCTGCTTCTGTCTCCTTGAACCTGAGCCTGGTTCTGCTGGAGGTTTCTTCCTGTTAAAAGGGAGTTTTTCCTCTCCACTGTCACTACAAGCATGCTTATTATGAGGTTGATTAGAAAACTCTGAATCACTTTGACCGTATAATCTGGTTGAGTTGTCTCTGAAAGTGCCTTAAGATGACATTTGTTGTGAATAGCGCTTTGTAAATAAACTGAATAAAAAAAAAACTGAATTGAATTGTAATAACTCAGTGGTCCATTCAGAGTAATTACCCACCTTGACAACCAGTTTTATGTCTTCAGGTGTAGGTGTAAAATTACCACATTTATGCAACACCCAACAACATACAGTGAAAATAAAAAAATAATGCAACCCTTTTTGGCATTTTCCTAATCATATTTAGTTACTTTAACACAATAATGTCATATTAGCAGGGTAGGACATAAAACAATTGTGTTAAAGTAACTAAATATGATTAAGTAAATGCAAAAAGTGATTGCATTATTTTTATCAGTGCCAGTTTTGTATCAGCTAAAGTGGTTTTCTGCAGTACTCCAAGTTCGGTCCCTTTTTCCTCTGAATGTAATGATTGGGGATCAAAAGGGTTTTTCCTCTCCACTGTCGCTACAAACATGCTTAGTGTGCTTAGTCAATTGGTTGCTGCAATCAGCTGGTTTTCCTTAGATAGAAAACTTTGAATCAATTTGACTGGATGATCTGGTTGAACTGTAAAGTGCCTTGAGATGACATGTGATGTGAATTGGCGCTATAAAAATAAAGTGAATGACATGAAATCAAACAGATTTTATACCAAATCCAAGCATTGAGTGTTTCATCTTATCTGAGGGTATTCCTGCCCCCCCAGTCAGAAATATGAGGTCAAATACTTTTTAAAACAGGTATTCATATCTTTGAGGTGGATTAAGGACCCTGCCTCCAACCCAATGACCGATGGAGGCTCAAAGCAAACCTGCACATATAAACCATGTTATGGACGAATCTCAACATTATTAAATCTAACATAACCTTTATTATGTCTTACAGCTGGAAGTTTTTGTCAATTAAAAATATATATTATAATAATTCAAGACATTAAACGTGTCTTGAAGTAAATACACAGGAAAAAATTGAAATCTAGATAAGTAATTTTTCTTAAAATAAGCGCATTTGTTCTTGGATTTAGGAGGTAAAAGAGACGTCTTGCCAATGGAACAAGATAACATACATTTAAAATAAGAAAACAGAATTGCATTGTCTTATTTAAAGTGCATTTTATCTAATTATCTTATTTACCTACTTAAATTAGGGGTAAATAGACTAAATCTAAGAAATTTTTACTTATTTCTAGATTGTTTTTCCAGTGTAGATCCTTTTTAGGAAGGTGAAAATTACAGTTTAGTGAAAACATTATGAATCAGAAATAAAATTATCTGTTTGACAATGTTTGAGTAATTTTCTACAAAGTTTGTGACTTTATTGATTAGAAAGAAGTGGATTTTAGAGCAGAGAACTAATAAATAAACATAGTTAAGTCCCCTGTAACAGTGCCAAGGTAAATATAGAAAAATATAACCTAATATCATCAGCTCTAAATGGATGGGTTCACTTTAATTCCCAGTTTTTCAGACATCTTTTAATCCGTGTTTATTTAAGCAGGTATTACAATCCTCACACATGTTGCCATTTCTCATAACAGTAACTTTATATAAGCTTTTAAAGGGTTTAACCTTTAGAGAACTACTTTTTATTTAAAGTATCATCATGAGATCGTTCAAACACCCCCCTGGGATGCTTTACCTTGTCCTCGGATGTCCCCGGCAGAGTTTTCGGGCTCCTGAAGACCGTGGATAAAATGTCTGCCACGGCCTCTCCGGATGATCCACCCCGCACCGCACCGCACCATCCGCGGAGGATCGCGGCAGAAACCCGCCTCTCGCTGCTCCTAGGGCCGCATGCAGAGAGTTGGACCTGAGCCGGACAGAGCTGGCCTACATGGCGGATAAACAGGACAAAAAGACGGTTGTAGGACTGTTAACCTCCCCTCTCCTCCCTCCTTCACCCAGCCTCCTCCCGTTTCTCCCTCTCTTTCATTGGTGTAGATAAAAGCCGTTTGGCAGGCGCGAGGCAGGCAGAATGAGACACCCACCGCCCCTTAGAGTTCATACAGATGGAATAAAACTCGCACTAGTTAGTGACCAACAGTATGAAGGGGGGATTCACTAAAAGTCACTTTTTTGCGGCAGTTCCGCAAGTTAATAAAGCAACAAGTTTCTATGAAGCCTCTAGTATAAACAGGCAGAGGGCGTGGAGCTGGACTCCGTGGGTCGCGACCCACAGTTAGGAACTGACGCAGCAGCGGCTTCGGCTGAAGGGATCCGCTTTTAAAGCTTCAGGCTACGGCGGAAAGAGACATAAGCAGCCGGAAGGAGGAGGAGGACTGACCTGCTGGCTGCTGGAAGGGTGTCAGCTGGAGAAACAGCTGCAGTCCTCAGTCTTTGAGCTCTGACCTAAGTTTACCATGAAATGTTTATGTTCGGAATCAAAGCGGAAAGATGGCGGCGTTACACTTCCGGGAGTGATGTCAAAATAAAAGCCTCCTCTCCTCATTATTCAACTTTTTTTTTGTAACTGCGGAAGAGACAGGGCAACTAAAAAAGCAAAAAATGTAACAA